ATGGACAAAACGTTATTTTATTTTATTAAAAGTACTTCATTAAGAAATATGACTTTTTGTATGTGAAAGACTTGTAATATTAACTGAAAACTGCCAAATTTTGTGAAGATATACCCAATATACAGAGAGTTATAAGTATTAAATTTATATCAGCTTTAAACGAGTACAGAAAGTCACGTGAATCGGTAAAATTGACTTTTTGTATGTGAAAGACTTGTAATATTAACTGAAAACTGCCAAATTTTGTGAAGATATACCCAATATACAGAGAGTTATAAGTATTAAATTTATATCAGCTTTAAACGAGTACAGAAAGTCACGTGAATCGGTAAAATTGACCGACCCCGTGTCGGAAGAGTTAAAGAGAATTACTGGCTATTTGTGAAATAAAGGGTGTGACAGGTGAGGGCATGGCAAGTGGGTCTAGCTTTATTGAAATTTGATTTACTAACTACATTTTGACACCAAGTTTATCTGTATACATCAATGATAAAATAGTTTAATAAAATTTTTAATGTAACTCTGTTAAAATATTGTGACAAGCTCACTTTGACCTATCTGTAGCAAGAGGTTAATGATAAAAAACACAAAATCAATGTCCAATGGTAAAAAATTAATTAATGATAATTGCTCTATGAATATACACTGGATGCCACTTACTGTGATCACAGATAATGTTATCATTCATATAACATTATCAGAATTACTAAGTCCTGACCAAATGCATAAAAATACATATGAAAAACATCTTTATTGAAATCAGCACTTCATTTTTTGCTATCAGTTTTAATCAGCTTACCCATCTCAGAGTCAAGCAACCTAAGAAAGGTTCACCATAAAATGGGGAGTGGCTAAGTTGTCATTAAGATCCCCTAGCTTTTGCATTTCCTTTCCATAATTACAGTACAGTTGTTTTCATTCCTTATTGAAAGATGGTGCTCCCACAAATTTAAAATTTTGTTAACCCTCTTTAATAATGGAAGAAGTGCATAAGAAACTTAAAGATCTAACCCTTAAAGAAAAAGTTGCCATTTTAGAATGCTATGATAAGTTACCAAAAATGGGGCAACATGATGCAGCAGTGCAATTAAAAATTTCCCAACCTCTATTGTGTAAAATTTTTAAAAAGCCGATATTAAGAGGGGGAGCAAAACAGAATGAAAACCTACTCTGTAAGAGAAAGCACCGTGGAAAAGATGGCCAGGTCGAATCAGCATTAAAACTTTGGTTTACTAATGTTCTGCCAGACTGTTATTTGGACAGACCCAGAATTGACAGAAGAAGCTGAAGCCCATAAAGCTGATAAACTTCCAACAACTACTGAAATGCAAGAGGCGCTTCAAATTCTGCAACTTGGCATACAGCACAGATCAGGTTAGCTTCATAAACAGTATGAATATTAAATTTTTATTAATGAATTGCTCAGAAAAAATTGTAGACAATCAACTTTAAATGAATTTTTCTAATTCTTGTTTTAATTGTTTTTTCCTTTCTTTATTTTTAAATAGGTCAATAAATGTAAAAATCCAGCTTTAAAACTTTTAGGTAATATGATTACCACCCTATATCAATAAACATTAATGAAACTGCTGAATTTTTATTTCATCGGTTAACGTTATCATTCATTTATTGTTATCAATGCAACTGTGTCCCAAAGTGATCACAATAAGCGGCATCCAGTGTAGTTTACAATACATAAAAGAATCTAAAAAAACAAGTTTTAATTGTTTTAAACTAATTCTTACCCATGAAGATAATTCCATGAACTTTCATTAGATGGAACTTTTTTAATACAGTCCAATACATACCTGTTAAAAAAAAAAACAAAGAACAATACATTAGGTGACACAACAATTTTCAAAAATCTCATACAAGTTTAAAATGAAAAATTATATAAAAGGTTTTGAAAAAAAAAAATTTCTTCAGGGAATCATGAATGTAAAACTGTAAATAACACAATAATATTGCAAGTTCTCACTGACATATTCTTGAATAAGTCAGTACTTTTTTGCTTAAAAAACAACATGATCTGTGATGACTCTAACTGTCTGAAAATACAACTGACATACATATTCTGGAGTTCAAAAAGTTATTAATTTACTGTTATCAAAGATAAAAAGTTTAATATACAAAGCTTTATATAAATAATTATCTTAAAACATACCATCCCAGGATGCTCACATGTAAAACAGGTTTTGTACATTATATTAAACTAATTTTGGAACCTCTTTCTCTATTTCAGATTCAAAATTAAAGGTGTGTACAAGTGTGTTGCTTTTCCAGATGTAGATTCTTCTTGACTGTGTTGTGCACTATAGCCTGGTTCATTTGTACAGTTTGCCACCGACATTTAGTTCATGGATTCTCATCTGTTACAAGACATCAGTCTTTGTTTACCACAACTGAAGTATAACTTCTTGCAGGTCTCTTTATAGATGGTTGCAATCGTCAAATTTATCCATATTCCTATGTTTTCCAATACCATTAAGTGCAAGGGATACTTCTAGGAAGATCTAAATCCCCAATCAGAACACATTGTTAAGATCTCATGTACGAAAAGACTGTTACATATCCTTTCCAAAAATGATCAAGTTTTGGTGGCATCGCACTACCTAAGAAACAGCACATGATGTGAACATGTAGTTCTGATACATGGTGTTCCACTGCAATGTTATATTAGCGGTTGTTGTCATGTGACTTGCTGATTTGAGTTTTCAAAATAATTTTAACTCTTTCCCACATCATGACCTCTTACAGTGTTACATTGAAAATTTAATAAAACAACTTTATGATTTATGTAAATCAATAAACTTGGCAGGAAAATGTAATGTATAATTCACATTTTTATATTACCTAAGTTTTAACCAACTGTCAAGCTGACTGTATCCAGATCTATGAAACTAGACTACCAATTTTTGCTATACCTCTAAATACTGGTAAGCTTTCAATAGACATTAAAAGTCTATTTTACATAAAATATCCAATTTTTAAATAAAGTCTTTTGATTAAAGATTTGCCTGTGAATTTATGAATCCTTTACTGAGTCAAGCTGAGTGAAAAGCCATTTTCATGCTAAGTATAAAAACACTTTTCATTTTACAGTTTTCATATTTCATTTCCATAACCTCTAGAATCTCCTAAATGAGCATCAGAAATTTACCTTTTTCACATCTGTTTCTTTCAATTCTATAATTTTACTGTTGTACTTTCTACTGGAACCATTATCCTCCCATTAAAAGTAATAAATCATAGTGTGAGCCCATTAGCTGTTTATGGTAGGTCTACCATGAACAGCACATTAAATATGATATATACCATGCTTATTTAAAAGCTTGTGAAATTTTAGACATTTGATTTTACAGCAGCTTTGATAGGTTAAGAAATGTTTCATTTTTACATTTTAATTACTTTGGTTATAAGATACATAACAATAAATAAAATTATACATAAACAAAAGGGTTTGTAGTACTCACTTCATACAAAAGCTCATTCCTTTCAAGTAAAAATCAAAGCAATTCGGAAATTTCATATGATAAAAATATGGAAATACTAAAATTATATGAATTTTCTTAAGCCAAAACTAATTACCATTTAATATATTTGTTTTCTAATTTTCATGCCACTTCATTAATATGTTCACTGTGAAAATGGTAAAATCAGCCAATGTCAATAACACCTCTCCAGTCCAAAAATAGTTATAGTGTCAATACACTGTTCAAGAATTTTAGAAAAATGTTTATTAAGAAATTAAAACCAATATCTAAAACACTGCAAAATGCAGTCAACATTTTATTTATAGCAACAACAGAGAACAAAATTATAACACTGTTTACTAAATTTTATGGTTTTGGTATTCCACGATTTCAGAATGTCTAGAAAATATTTTACTTTGTATAATACCAAATAATATATAACAGTGTAAATCATTAGAAGTTTAATCAGACTTAATTTTACCACTTGCAGCAAGTCCGTTATATAATGCACACTATGTGACTGATTACTACTATGTAAGCCACAATTTTCTCTTGCATCATCTGTAAAATATAAAAAAAAGATGATGCGCAAAAATAATACTATACATTAACTCTCTCAACATGGGTTCAGTCAATTTGACCAACTATGTGACCTCTTTGTACTTGTTCAAAGTCCTTATAGATTTGATACTACTAACTTTTAATATAGTGTATATATCTTCACAAAATTTGGCAGTCTTTCAGTAAACATTACAAGTCTTTCACACACAAAAGATCACATTTTTTAGCAAAGTATTTTAATAAACAAAAAATATATTTGTCCTTGAATATATTATTTGTTTTGAATAGTCTGTGTGCAAAGTGATTTTCATGTTATAATTAAAAATACTTTTTTTCATCTCAAAAATCTCAAATTTCATTTGTGTAATCTCTAAAACCTCCTAGATACATTTCAAATATTCATTTTCAGTAAAACTTTACCCTAACTCAATACAGGTTGATCAATCTGACTGACCTCCTAACCACAAAAAAAATCTAAATTACTCTCTTTTCGTTTCTAGAATGACTCCAAAAGTAGCATGAAACTACATTTGTTTATTTTAAGTAGCTTTAAACTTGTAACAGTATACACCTATTTATAATTAAATTTTATTGTTTTATTGCACCTTGAACCATGTCTAACTACTATTCGTGCCATTACAAGTTGTAAGTCACTTGGGGGAAAGTGCAGCTCACGTGCATGCCTCATGAAATATTTTTATTATATTATTATTATTTTACCTAATCTATCCTTAACTAACCTAAAGAGATCCCTATTTTTACAGTTTAGTTACTTTATAATAATAAATAAAAAATAAACATGAAAAACAAGAAATAAAGTACTTACCCAATTTTCTTTTTTCTTGCTGTTGATTGTCGAGGACACTTAACCCCACTTTTTTATACTAATGGCAGTGATGCACTAAATAATTTTTATTTAATTAAATAATGTACCAAAGAACATAGACTAATAACATGCAAAAAGTAGACAATTTCCCCTAACTTTAAAAATTTTTCTGGCTTTCTAACTATACGACAAAAGCCGTTAAAAGTTCATCTAAGCTAGTCATTAACTTTCCCACAGGAATGAACCATTTATTATAAGTGAAATTGATGCTCATCTGTTCAGAACACAATATTATACAATACATCATTTGATAGATGAAAACCTTTGCTTTCTA